TACACAAGCGGTGGTGATTTTCCACTTGTAATGATGGTTTGCAGGCCCTGTAAGATAACTACAAAGGATGTCTGTTTTGAGACTTCATGACAGAATTACATAAACTTCCTTCTTACTATGTCATGAAATTCTGTCTTCACTCTTAGAAGTGACTGGCTCAGCTCTACTAATGACAAAGCAGACGCCGAGGTCAGAGTACCTGACCCAGCTGGAGGCTGATGTCTTATTTATTTCTCAGTAATAGTTTTAGGATAATTTTACATTGGTAGCTAGGTCTAATTTTAGTAACTGGCAATTAATTTCTCCATGACTTAAGACAAGGAGTATTTGCAAACATATACAATGCATCTATTCTTACATAATTTTCAGTGTTGCAGAACTATTAAGATTGGCTAGAACTGGCATGCTTAAGGCTTGCCATAACTCCATTGCGTTCCAGTTTGGACCAAATCCAAGTAGAGTTTGTCCCTATTTGTCTCCTTTTTCATGTCTCCAGGCCAAGGACCTTACGTTAATGAAGAGCATTAGCCATACTTGTTATCAATAGCAAAATGTCTTGCCTTTTTGTTGAACTTTTTCAGTGTGGCCTGTTGAAACCTCAGATTCAAAGTAACAGACTTCTAAGTCTGCCAGACTCTTCATGATGTGAGCTGTGATACCCCGGTACCCATCTCGAGTGCAGAATTGCCCTCAGAGAAACAAAAACCTCCATGACCTGACCTTCTGGTTCTGCCAGTGCGGCTGTGAGTTGGTGGATAGTCTGGGCGCAAGCTGGGAGCTCTGTGCTACGGTCTAAGGACACTTTTATGCAAGACACAGCACGGGCTACAGCACTTGTTAGCTTTCAGGTTTCCCTGAAGAACCTAGACCAACTCCAGCTATCTATCTGCCCAAATCTAGATCGAGACACCTCTTTCCCAAGAGAATATATAGCTGAGTGCCCAAGAAAGTTGATACTGTTCTCCAGAAACTGTTGTTAGAAGTCTTGCAGAAGGTGAACGATGACTATTTTTTCTGAGTTTTTTTCTAAAGCCAGAGCTAAAGATACTGCCAGAGCACTTTATTTGAAGATAATATCATGCATTGAAATGCAGAAAGAGAAGAATATATAACAGTCTCATAAATTTCAGTGCCTATGGAGGCTAGAGGTTTGAAAAGTAATGAGACTGTATTGCTGTCTGTTATTTAAATGGTCTAGATCCTACCCTAGATCCCACCCTGGAACAAAAACTAAGGAAATAACATTGCTAATACAGTTTTAGCCGATTACAGATTAATCAAATATACTGTACGGACTGTTAGATACGGCTTAACTGAACTTTCCCTGAGCACCTATACTTTAGTGTGAACCTAATGTATTCTTTTTCTCTGCTTTATATAATAATAACACTATCATGTCAGTTATGTCAGAAGCCTTTTCACAGCATCAGTTGTTGCAGAAATGCAAGAACCAATTTGAAGCCTATCCCATTACACCTTTATTTTCTGCCTCAGTTGTATGCTCATTCTGTGCCGAAGTCCTCACCCTGCTGGCAATAATGAGCAATGAGATGGGTGAACAGGAAAAAAAGCCAGGTTTTAGTGGCAGTTTAATACTGGGAAACCACTACATTTTCAGGAGATTGCTCCCAGTCCTTGTCTCCCCAAAAATCAGAAACAATAGTATCTGGAGCAGCCTGTTAAGACTGCATCATTAACTCCAGGAATGTTTTACTATTCATTGCATCAGCAGCAGATTCAAATGGCTTCTATCCAGCCCGTAAGAAAGGAATTTAAATATGTCCTTTCTTTTAGAAACATTTTGCAAGTTATAAGGGAATATTTTTAAAGTTTAATAAGAGTTGGATTTTTATGTGGTTTTGTAGAACCATAGCTAAATGACATAAGCTGCCAGAATATGTCATTTAAACAGAGTATTGTTTATATTCTGAAATGCAGATTAAAAATAGTGTGTCAAGAATTATATAGCTAAACTGTGGTCGTAGATTGATTATGTGGAGTACACAAAATTTTCCAGGCATTTCAGTCCAGAACACAGTTCCAGAAACATTCCCAGGAGTTTTGCTGGGAAAGATGCAGTCAATAGTGAGTTTTTTACTCTTCTGTATAGCTAGCCTAGCAGATTGCTACAGGTCTTTCTCATAAACTCATTGTTTCTGTTAATATAAGCTACGTCTGTTCTATGAAGATTTACCAGCATAATACTATCTGCAAAGTGTTCTTTATGTAGGCTCAGAATAAAGAGTCCCTTTTTTTTCTTCTTCTTTTTCTCATAGTTGCTCTTGTTCTTCCTAGTGATCCCCTGCCATTTTTTTGCCTAATGAGTTGTAAAATCTAATCAATTGCAATAATTAAAACATACTGTGAGTGGAATGATGCACAACTTTAATTATACAACAAAGTCCCAGACAAATAAGAGCCTGAGATTCTTACATTAGAAGAAACCAAAATACTTTCCTTTGCTGTAAATTTTTTTCACCAAAACCAGACTCATGTTTATAGATGATATGTACAAAACACTAAAAGTTCCAGGCTTGCTATTCTGTATATTTTATTAAAATAGCTGGGAGAGTTCAAGCTTGCATGTTACCAGCACATGAATGAATGGTTGGAACAAACAGATAGATGGTTGTTGTCAATAAAACACCCTGGGTGGCAACCCTGAACAGGAAAATTTTGTGTTCAAGACCTATAAAACACATGGCGTTTTAGCGTCGTCACACAATGTAAGAAGGGGTGCTACACATTGACTCACCTCTTTTCTAGGGACTTTGGTATGCTGGTGAACATTTAGGCATAAAATAAATTCACCATGACAGACTGAAACACCAGTGTTTCCTAATTAAAACCAGTTTGATGACAATTGGGCAGATATGTTCTCATTTTTTCTTTTTTAAGAGTAACGCATGTCAGGTAATTGGGTCCTTGTATTAGACAGCTTTTTCCTATGCTGTTATTAACATTCTGATGCTGGCCCCAATGAGGAAGCCATCAGTTTGACAGAAACTGCAAGCTCAACAATTCAGACCTGTGCCATGTTTATTTGTGCTTTGAATTCAGAAAGTATAATTATGTTATTGAGTATGTTGGAGAACTCAAGCATGCATTAGTTATTTCACAGTGACTTCAGTGAAGTGGAGAACCTAGTGTACCTTATTTAAGCTTCAAACTTGTTCACAGTGAAATCTGATACAGGCAACTTTCACAGTTTGAAAGGCAGTGATTGCTCTCCAATAGTGTTGCCTTTTGCCTGCCTCTGTCCTAGCTATAGCACCTCACAAATGTCATCCATCATCAGCCCTGCTTAGGTAGGCAGTGTTACTGCCTTCAGTCTTTACTAAGGTTGGCTTCTTTTGCTGTTGTGGGTAGCTGAAGTTTTAAAGGAATATATGACCCTCCTGAATATGACAGATTAACCAGAGTATGTTTTCTGAATGGGCTATATGAAGGATGAAGAATAGATCTTATTCCTCCAATAAATATGGCTCAAAAAAAAAAAAAAAAAAAAAAAAAAGGCAGAAGCAGCACTGGCAGGGAGAGGTAGAAATCTGTTTGGAATGCTTCAAAATATGAAAGATGCTACCTGTTCTGTACTATTATTAGCTGAAAAAGGCCAAAGACAGCATGTAAGTACAAGATGATGCCAAATATGGACCCTCACACCATGAGCAATTTCAGTTTGTGCTTAAAGAGCTGAATTTGTGCCTACTAACCCATAGCTGAAACAGGCTTACTGCCGTTTTTCTCAAAGTTAGAGTGAGGCAGCCTTTCCATCTCACCCCTGTGACCAATCTCTCCTCATATGCTCATCACACCTGCATTCTGCTTAGCTGCATTTCACTCTTCTTGGGTATCACAGTTTTGTCAGACTTAGTGTGTCCCTGGAAGTACACCAAACATCACCAAATGGATTTGACAGTACCATTTCTGAGAAATGAGAGCAAATTTATTTTAGTATTTCTAATGGAAACCTGGATTTACTTAGGACTTCTAACCAAAACAATCTATTTTCCCAAGTGTTACAATAATTTTTGCATCACTTTAACACTTTGCACACTATCTCAAAGCTGCCCATATTGTTTTGAGTGTAAATAACTAAACTTTGTAGTAAAACCGTTAGGTTCTCTGATAGATTCATTTCTTCTCTCATAATATTGATTCTGTAAATGAGAATGACCAGCTATTCCAGGCAAAATGGAAGGCTGTGAGGTATGGAGGTGCCTGAACTTTATCAAAATAAATGACAAAATATTTCAGAAAACCTATCTCCTGAGACAGAAATTGAAACATTATTTCTAGGAAGCAATTGTCTACTTACACATTTTAATCATGATGAGAAACTGGGTTCACCTTCATACGACTGCTTACTTTTTAACATCTTGCTCTCCACCTAATTCAGGGCCAATACCTTCAATTATTGTAGTACCTGAAATTTGTCTAGACATGACAATTCGGCAGGACTAGTCACCTGAACAATTCTTCTTGTTTATTTTTCTTAACTTTGACTTTTGGGTCATATATTTACGCATGGCTAGGAAGGTGTTCACTATGTGGTACTAAATAGACAGCTTACACACAGTATTACCCAATCACTTTTCCACACTGTGTAAAGTTTTACATAATTACATTTAATGCAGAAAGTTAATAATGTTCTGCACATTAGCAGGAACTTTATATCCTTCACTTGGTAACTTGCAATAATAAATATCACTTCCCATTGTAATTTAAAAATGGTGAGACCAGTCACGGCTTGCTTTCTGAAATGAATTGGCTTACTGCAGGCAGTAAAACCATGAGGTCTGTACCGTGTCTAACATGATTCTAATGTTTTGCTCTGTGTAAAAATCAAAACATTGAAGCAAAATAATGAATGCAGCAGCCAAAGCAGCTTTCACCATTCTGAGTTTATTTGACGCATGCACATGTGGAAGGATTTAAGCAAGCCCTGACAAATACACTTGTATCAGTCTAACCAAAACATTGTTTATTTTGTTTTACAGATTTTGGCCATTGTGTCCATTCTGTTCATCGTACTGTCCACTATTGCTTTGTCTCTTAACACACTGCCAGAGCTTCAAGAAATAGATGAATTTGGGCAGCCAAACGACAACCCTCAGCTAGCACATGTTGAAGCTGTGTGTATTGCTTGGTTTACCATGGAGTACCTTTTGCGTTTTCTGTCCTCACCAAATAAGTGGAAGTTCTTCAAAGGCCCGTTAAATGTCATTGACTTACTGGCTATCTTGCCGTACTATGTCACCATTTTCCTCACGGAGTCCAATAAAAGTGTCCTGCAGTTCCAAAACGTCAGACGTGTGGTTCAGATATTTCGTATTATGAGGATCCTAAGGATTCTTAAGCTTGCCAGACATTCAACAGGCCTTCAGTCTTTAGGTTTTACGCTCAGGCGGAGTTACAATGAATTGGGCTTGTTGATATTATTTTTAGCCATGGGAATAATGATATTTTCGAGTCTTGTATTCTTTGCTGAGAAGGATGAGGATGCTACAAAATTTACCAGTATCCCTGCATCATTCTGGTGGGCAACAATCACTATGACTACTGTAGGATACGGTGACATTTATCCTAAGACATTATTAGGTAAAATAGTCGGAGGACTTTGCTGTATCGCTGGAGTGCTGGTCATAGCTCTGCCGATACCAATTATTGTGAACAATTTCTCAGAGTTTTATAAGGAGCAGAAAAGACAGGAGAAGGCAATTAAGAGGAGAGAAGCACTTGAGCGAGCTAAAAGAAATGGCAGTATTGTCTCCATGAACCTGAAAGATGCCTTTGCTCGCAGTATGGAAATGATAGATGTAGCAGTAGATTCAGGTAAGCCTGGAGAAGCAGCTAATCCAAAGGAGACACCTGATGACAACCACCTGTCCCCAAGCCGGTGGAAATGGGCCAGAAGGACAATGTCTGAAACAAGCTCAAACAAGTCTTATGAGAACAAATACCAAGAAGTTAGTCAACAAGACTCCCATGAGCAATTAAACAACGCTGCATCATCCTCCAGCCCGCAGCACCTCAGCGTCCAAAAACTGGAGATGTTGTATAATGAAATTACTAAAACTCAGTCTCAGCCTAATCTTAACGCTGGTTACCAAGACCAGTCAGCAAAGCCACCCATGTATGAAGAAGAAATAGAAATGGAAGAAGTTACAAGTCAGAGAGATCCGTTGCCAACTGGACCTACGGACATCATAACGGACATGAGGAGCACATCCAGTATCGACAGTTTTGCCAGCTGTGCGACTGACTTCACAGAAACAGAGAGGTCTCCCCTCTCTCTGTTTCCTGGCTCTCACTTGCAAATGAGATTTCCAGCTGATGCTGTTAACCTGGAAGACAACCAAAGAGTAAGGAGTTCTCAGTTTATACCATTCACAAAAGACCGAATGTTTTCTCCAACCGATGTCACCTTTGACTACAATCCAATCGACAGAGCTGTTACTGGTGATGGCAGTGGGTCCCAAACTGTTTTGCATGGTCATTTGCATTTCGACACTGCCATGGAAAGCCCCAAAAGTTCCCTGAAAGGTAGCAACCCATTAAAATCTAGGTCCCTTAAAGTTAATTTTAAAGACAATAGAGGTGGTGCTCCACAAACTCCACCCAGCACTGCAAGGCCGCTGCCAGTAATGGCAGGAGCAGACTTCACACAGACCACCCCTCAGCACATCAGCACCATTCTCCTAGAAGAAAATTCACCCCAAGGTGAACGACCTTTACTTGGTGCTGACGCATCAGCACTTTGTCAGGGACCTGTGAAAAAGTCATCCCCTCTCTTTCCCAAACAAAAGATTTTCACTTTCCCTTCAAAAGAGAGGAGGAGCTTCACTGAAATAGACACTGGAGAAGAAGAATTTATGGAGTTACATGGTATAAAACATGAAAAACAACACGATATCAAGACAAATTGCTGTGGGGATAAACAGAGTGATGGCAACCATTTAACAGAGGAGCCACAGGTCAGCTCTTCACCCAAAAGCATGAGCCACAACTGTACTCAAGACATTTACCATGCTGTGGGTGAGGTAAAGCAAGACAGTAACCAAGAAGGTCACAAAATGGAAAACCATTTATTTGCCCCAGAAATTCATTCAAGTCCGGGAGAAACTGGTTACTGTCCCACACGCGAAACTAGCATGTGACTAGTTACAAAAGCAATAAAAATATCTTTTCTTAAAACACAGTTAGTAATGCCTATGAACTAAAACATGGAAAGCCTCAAAAAAAGTGCATAGAATGTTATTTTTGCATGGCATGAAGAGTTGTTTAGTTTAAATACTGTTTAATTTAAAAAAAAAAAAGAGACTGCTTTTTGTAACAAACTGAAAAAAATGGGAAAAAATGACTCAAGAACAGTGAATAAAATAAAGCGAGCTCTGTTAGGAGCCAGTGTTCTGCAACATCTGACATTTTTGATCCTTTCAGTTACGATGGTAGACAGATTTTGAACTCTTTTAACTTTTTTTGTTTTCTTGGTTACAATGAATTTTAGAATTTGCACATGAAAGGATGAAATGTCAATGCATGCATTCATAAAGATGTGAAACAAGGTGCTTTGAGCTTGCAAAATGCATATATTTGTAAATAGTTTGGGGTTGGGGGGAAAGCTACTGTTAACAAGGATTTATGGAAAAAGCATTTCCTGGGACACAGGTACTTCCTTCACAGCATGCTGCCTGGAGGTTTTGTACAGACTTATGTTGCAAAATTGCAACTTCTACTTAAAGCATCTCACATATCTTGCTTTCTGTTAAAAAGCTCATGCATATATCTGTTAATTAAGGACTACAGTATTTTAGTTTATCTATCTGTGCTGTAAATCATGATTTTTTTTTTTCATAACTTTAGTTATTGCATTTGTCAGGGGAAAAGCAAAGATTTAATGACCAGAACTTGAAGCATTTGATATTTTCATAGAAAACTGCCATCATTTCATAACTAAGAAAAAAAAATGTTCCATTTTAAAATTAAAAAAAAAAAACATAGTTATTTCTGTGGCAATAAATAGTGCCAAATGGCTCTACAGACATATCCAAAAGTTCTCAGTCTCTTAGAATATTTGTTTTAACCTGGTATTCAAAAAAAAATATTACCCACATTCTTTTTTTTTTTCATTTGAGTGAACAGTATTTGCTTCTACATGATCTTTGAGCTCTCTTTC